GGGGGGGGGGAGGGGCTGGGGATCGCGATGCCGGCTCAACATTGTGATGTCTATCAGCCATCGGCGATGGACGATGGCATGGTCTATCGGCCCAACCCTAAATATAACAGATAAATGCAGCCTTAAGTATAAGAGAAAATCTTACCAATTAAAGTTTTGAACAGTACTGTATTAATCAAATGTCCCATTTAAAGTGTTTATTATATCTTTTTGTTCTTTATGACTAGGAACTCACTTAAAAGAGTTATTTAGTATAATTTTGGCAGAAAAGGTTTTAGAATTTTTATCATATGTTAATGTAAAAAATATTGTGTTTGTTTGTTTGCTGGTTTTTATTGTATTTGTGATTTGCAGATCCTGAGCACCACTGACAAACATATAATCTTGTAAAATGTGTGGTAAGTGCTTCCGCTCCATAGTATAAACCGACTACGTGCAATCGCCAATCTCAAAAGTGAAAGTGAAACTTTTTGTTCTTTATGACTAGGAACTCACTTAAAAGAGTTATTTAGTATAATTTTGGCAGAAAAGGTGTTAGAATTTTTATCATATGTTAATGTAAAAAGTCTTGTGTTTGTTTGTTTGCTGGTTTTTATTGTATTTGTTATACTTGTATTTTTTTAATTGTTTTTGCCATGAAAATAGCCTTAGATGCTGACATTGCATTAAATAAATATATACTATACTATACTTCTTTATGACTAGTGTGGGTGTTTTCTGTGTTTAAATCACTCTTGTTTTTCCTTCAGTGTGTGGACATGTGGAAACGGAGCAGTTGTCAGCTGACTGTCCCATCAGAAATTGATGTGAGTTGCTGTAATGCAGTTAAACGAATATACAAGTAGCATCTCTCTCTTTTCTGTAGGTCCTAAACCATTTATAACAGAAATTACTTTAAAAAAAAGAATTGAGTTTAAAGTATTGTTAAAGTAAATTTCACATTCTTGTGTTCTGAGATGGGATGTTTCTACATTTTTTTCCCCCTGCATTCAAGTCTATGGAAGTAAGTTTTTCTTTCTTCTTCCAGGTGGAGAAATATGCAGTGGCTGAGAAGTCTGTCAAACTAGATGACACTCAGCCCACTGTTTGGCCTGCACAGGTAACACAATTGTGTAAATCTTACATACTAACTAGACTGCACATGGAGCCTGGTTGTTTTATTGGTGTGATCTGCGGTCTTCGTTTCATAACAGGACATGAGGGATGACTACATTTTCGAGTGTGAGGTAGGAGGTCAGCCTCAAAGAACAAAAGTTACTATTTTCCAGTCTAGGGGGGACCCGCTGGTATTTGGGAAAATCTACTGCGCCAAAGACTCCAAATCAGAGGAGGATGTCACAGACCTGCACCTCATTCACCCACCGTAAGAAATAACTGATGACATTTTAGAATTCTTATTTCACATTTATATTACACTCTAAGATGAGAGTAAAGTGTTATTAGTTACACTCGCCTAATTGTTGTTGCACTTACCTGACCTTGTATTTTCTCTGTGGTTTGTAGATTCCTCATAGGTTCAAAAACAGATGCTGATCAGTAAGTACAGGAGCCATGCTTTGATGTTTGGTGTGTTACTGAGTCTCGGGTCTTGGTTGCGCTCAGCCGCCATGAAAATATTCCTGTGCCGCAGGTTTCTGACGCAGTATAAGGAGGTTTATGAACGAGACGTGAAGTGTCAGGTGAAGATGTTGCACAACTCAGGCAGCACAGGGTCCCAAGGCCAGCTCTCCCCCTCCAGGGAAAACGAGGTTAGACATTTTGATGTTACATCTGACCATTCCGACTAAGACATGTTGCAAAAAACAGATTTGATCTGATTTGGATCAGGTTCGTAAACATAAGATGTGTTTATTTTGTACTTCAGGCTACAAAAAAAAATTGATATGAGGCAGATTTGCTCATTTTCTCTTGATTAGAGATTTATGTGTCAGATTTAGAAAATGGGCACATTCACGTGAATGTCATGACAAGATTGGTCCATTTTGATGGATGTTTGTTGTTGATCCAGGCTGATGGATTCTCAGCTCTGGTCCAGTCTTCGGTTTTAGGAAAGGGCGTCAAACACAGACCTCCTCCTATCAAACTGCCAGCCGGCTCAGCCTGCGCCGCCTCAGGTGAGACAAACTTATAATATAACAGTATGTATAGGTATCAACAAGAGAAGAGCAGAATACACACATGAATATAAATATTGTAATATTGTGAAATTTAAAATGACTGTTTTCTATTTTAATATATTTAAAATGTAATTTATTCCTGTGATGGCAAAGCTGAATTTTCAGCATCATAACTCCAGTCTTCAGTGTCACATGATCCTTCAGAAATCATTCTGATATGCTGATTTGTTGTTCATCTTATATCAATTATTATTGGTGCTCAGTTATTAATAATAGTTCTTGTTATTATCAATGGAAAACAGTGTTTGAGATCAATGTAGTTCAGGTCCGACCTCCATCATGTCTCAATCTCATTCAATATGTTTGTGTCTTTCCACTTTAAAAAGTGTACAAACAAGCACTCCCTCCCTTTGTCTAGGTAACCCGTACAGTACACAGGCCTCAAGCGGCCATCTCAAGTGCCCGACCCCTCCACCCACAAAGAATCAATCGCTCTCCCGGAAACACTCCATGGAGCTTGGCCTGCTGTCCCCTGCTGCTCTCTCGCCCATGCAGAGTGAGTATCCCTCCATTCACAACTAGAAAGCTGTCAGTGCTTCGTAGCCATATATTTATTTCGTGTTTCTTCTCTGACCATCCTCCACAGGATCAGGTACTCCCAAGCCCTCCACACCCACCAACACGCCGTGTTCAACGCCCCACCCCGCCGACGTTCAGTGTGCCACGCCTTCAGTAACGCCCACCCCTCAGGACCCCGCACTTCCACAGCAGCCCACCCTGCTGACTCCCTTCGCCCAACAGCAGATGACCCTGCCTGTCATGACTATTCCCCTGCCCACGTCCAGCACTACATCGTCACAGGTCATGACAAACCCAGCAGGGCTCAACTTCATCAATGTGGTGGGCCCGGTTTGGTAAGAACCCAAGTTTGTGCCTTTTTTTGTTTTTTTTAGGGATATGAAAGGGAAAAAATGGCGACGAACCACCTCTGTTTGTGGTTTCTTACAGCAGTCCTCAGACTCTGATGAGCGGTTCTAACCCAATGCTGGGTTGTAGTCCTGGTACTCTGGCATCTGGTATACCCCTGAGTGGACTTCTGCCCTCTGCTGGTCTCATGTCTGGAGCTCTTCCTGCCATGCAGCCTGCAGCTCCAGCAGGTAAACCTCTCAGTGAATCTCTCCCTGCATGGTCAGATGTTCATCATTGACTTTTATAAGTTGCCAGTGGCTACTGTGGATAGAAAAATGTTCATGTTGTTCCAGCAGGTGGGCCTTTTGGGCTGAACAACAGCCCGGGACTGCGACCGCTGAACCTTCTTCAGGTGAGAGAGCTTTTGTAGTTGAAGTTTTGGCTTTTGTGGAGACTACTCTCTCTTTCCCTCCCATTTATGTTTGTTTTTCCTTTTCTTTCAGCTCCCTACAGGACCACTGATTTTTAACTCTCTGCAGCAGCAGCAGTTGTCTCAGTTCTCCCCTCAACAGCAAAGCAGTCAGTCCGCCACATCCAGCCCCCAGCAGCAGGGGGACGCGGTGAGCCAGACACCCTGTAGCCATTATTTTACACAGCTATCAAGATTCTAGCAATTTCCAGAGGCTGAGAATCAACTTCAATAGTGTTAAAGGGATAGTTCACCCAAAACTGAAAATTGTATTCCATGGAAGTCAGTGCTACAATCAACTGTTTGGTTACCAACATTCTTTAAAATATCTTCTTTTGTGCTCAAAAGAAGAAAGAAACTCTCACCGAATTATAACAATTTGAGGGTGAGTAAATGATAACAGTAGTTTCATTTTTAGATGAACTATCACTTTAATGTGTGTCTATATTATATTCAATTACATTTAGAATTTTTTTTTTTTTTTCAAATATTATAAAAATATTTAACATCATTTATATTAAATTTTCATTATACATTTTTATTTAAATTGTATACAGATGAAAGAGAGATTAAAGATATGTTTGGGAAAACTAGTGTTATGGAAATTACATACTTTAATTTGAATGAATTTTTGTATAAGAGTAAAATGTTACAATTTGATGTAGTTTTAATTTAGATATTTTAATAATTATTATTATATAGTATAGTTTATTTTTTTTCAAATAATATAAATATTTGGTATAATTTGTTTAAATTAAATTATACGCTCATTATATAACTATTTCATTTATATACAGCCAGTGGGAGATGAAGGAAGTGTTTGGGAAAACTAGTGGTATCTTGAATGTATTTTGTATACAAGATGAGAGTAAAGTATATTTTGATGTAGTTAGTTTTAATTTAGACATTGCATTAATAATTAGGCCTGTCGCAATAATCAATATATCGACTTATCGCGCAATATATGTACATGACCGCAATAATTTTTGGTTACGCAATATATCGCACAACAAAAAGTTGTTATCGTGACAGGCCTATTAATAATATATTATTATATATTATACTGTATTACATTTAGAATATAATGACAATAAAAAATGTTGTAAGTATAAAAAATAAATGTGCCTGGTAATTTCATTTTTTTTGTCATTTATATACAAATATTTTGTTTCTAAATTGCATATATATGTTGACTTAAACTAAAGGAATAGTTCACCCAAAAATGAACATTTTGTCATCCTTTACTCACCCTCATGTCATTCCAAACCTGTAGGAGTTTCTTTCTTATGTTGAACACAAAAGAAGATATTTTGAAGAAACAAACAGTTGTTGTTCCCCATTGACTTCCATAGTAGGGAAATAAATACTATAGAAGTCAATGGGGACCATCAGCTGTTTGATTACCAGCATTCTTCGAAATATTCAATGTTCAACATAAGAAAGAAACTCATATAGGTTTGGAATGACATAAGGGTGAATAAAGGTTGACAAAATTTTCATTTTTGGGTGAACTATCCCTTTAAGTTTTTTATTTAATGCAATTTGACATTGGCAATCTCACAAATATTCTTTAGTTTCATGCTACACCAAAGAAAAAAAAATATATATATATATATATATATACAGTATGTGTGTGTGTTCTGAAGTTAATTCAGTTGTCCTCTTTGAATCAGGCTGATCCGGGTCTGACGGCAGAACAGGGTCTGTCCGTACAACAGACGGCGGTCATCAATCTCACCGGAGTGGGGGGATTCAT